TTGGTAAATCAAACAAAGAAGCTGCTGGTGTTCTCAGAACAAAGTCACCCCAGAGTCCAGACCTCAACATCACTGAATGTGTTTGGAGGTGTGGAACAATATGCCTTCAGATTTCTATGCAAAACTGAAAGCAAGTCACCCAAAAGATTGAAAGCTGTAATAAAGGTAAAGTGTGGACACACAGTGCATACTGAAAATGAGGCTTCTGTATAGGTTTATGTGAAATATATTTTATTTTGTGAAATATATTTTGGTTTGGTTGTTTGTTTTTGTTTGTTTGTTTGCTTGTTTTTTCCTGACAATGAAAAAAAAACTTGATGAAAGGTTAAAATAAACAAAAGCGTAGTCTCTAACTTTTAAACAGTACTGTACATCAAGACAAATTCAGCTTATGTATACGTAATTATGTACAATATTTAAAATATGTAATGTTACATTTAAGACGATATATGACATTTATCCAGTGTTGAAATTCTCTTTTGAAGTTTTCATATGAAATATGTCACTGATTTATGTTTCTTTCTTTATAATGCAGAGAGAGGCTGGACAGTCTTGGGCAGGCTAATTTAATGCTAGATATTTTTACTTATAAACCACAGCAGTTTCCATGAGGTACATGTCTAATAAGAAAATCACATTAGGTTAAGAGTAAAAGAAGTTTGATTGTGTAACTGAAGTCGACCCTTTCCGGCAGCACTTAGAACTACATGTCTGAAACGTTTGTCTGTTGACTGGAAAATACCAAGAAAGGAAACAGAGAGGGTATGAAAATGTTAACAGTAAACTCCTTTTCACAGTAGCCATAAAATGCAATTATTTCCCACTGTTTTGGAGAAGGTCCCTCAGCTGAAGTGTGCATTGTTTTTCTTCACTAACATTGATGGAATATAAATTGATGGAAATGTTTATAATTTAAAAAAGGGAAGTGAACTGGATTTTTGGTGAGCAAAGAGGCCAACATTTATAAGTGTTTTGATTGTGCTTAAATGCTACTTTGTATTGTGGCCTTTTATTGTACACAATTTTTTGATATTAAGAAAGCTGCTGTATGTTTTTTCAGCACAGCCGTCTTCATGGAGAGGCATGTATTGTTTTCACAGCAGGGGGTTTTCCACTCTTCCCCCCTCACCCCTCATCAAAGTCACTACATTTCACACACAAAGAGCCAACAGTGTCCTATAGTTAATCTAATCATATTTTACTTGATCATATTAGTTAAAAATATGAGAGTTTATTTCTATTCTGCTGGTGGCCATTAGTGGGGCAGCAGAAAGAGGATACAGAGTGCTAAAGACTCCAACCCCCCAAAATGTATTTGTTAGATTTAAATATCTATTTTGGTCTAATGACAAATGTCTCTGAGTTCTTGAGCAGCTCATTTACATTGTCATTTGAGAGTGATTTGAAAAGGCTAGCATATACACTCCCATGCAAAAACAGCAAAACTTGGTCTTAACAACAAATCATTAGTCAGTGAATTAACAAGAATTACCCAAATAGATCAAGTAAGTTAGTATAGGAAAACTTTTCTCTTTGATTTCTTTAACTGTTAACCTTTAGCCTGACAGTCTTTTACAGAAAGAAGAGTCAATATTGTTCTACTCATCAGTGATGGCATCAAACAGCTGAAAAACACTGACAAGCTAGTTTGTGTTTAATGTGAGACCAGATATTCTCTACAGGTTAAAAACTACTAGTATTTTCAGAATGGCCCATTTTTTGCTGAATGGGAGTGTACAGTGTTTAAATGGCTGATGTGGACTTTGGTACAAAAATTAATTGGTCTTGCACATATTGGCTGCTTGATGAAAAACACACATGTATTTGTACTGACATTGCTTATTTGGGTACTGACAAGACACGAATTGAATGACGCTAGTAAATGACAGTAATGTAGCTACTTGATAGTATCATTTATGAAAACAAGTGAAAACATATATAGTGCAGAAAGCCACATATGACTAAAATTGAAATGTATTTTGCAAACACTCTTAACCAACATGTCTAATCATGTTTCAGAGGAAACAAATGTTGCAATAAGAGTCTTGCCTAAGATTTATATATATAACCGCTGTTGGAATAAAACCTAAAATCTCCAAAATCCTAACTTCTTACACACAATATATATATTATATATGTATATATATATATATATGCTGAATCTAAGTAGCAGGAGTGACATTTAGTCTATACCTGTGCAAACATGTTGTAATATAATCTGTACTTTTAATGGCCGAAAGAAAATGCTGATAAAGAAAAAGCCGAAAGCATTAAAGTTATCAGTGCCCTGATACACCTTATTAGGAGAAGCCAAGCTAAGCTGCTTGAAATGATGGAGGAGAGGCAGACAGCAGCAAAGATACAGGCTAAAGGGTTTACTAAGGAGCTCAAGCAGGAAACTGCAGAGCTAAAAGGAAGAAAGATTAAGCTGGGGGTGCTCTTGCTCACTGAAGACCATCTCCACCTCTTACAAGTAAGTGTCCCTCTTTCAGTTCAGAGAACATGCAGAAGAACCTCACCATGCTGAGGCTTTTCTCCTCTTTCCTGCTGCCTCTAGCTCTTCCCATCCACCACTTTATCCACCCTTCTGCACAACAGTGACTGGACCAAAATCAGTATTAACACTGATCAGAGTACAGAGTGTGAGGATAGCTTTTCAACACTTAAGGCAATAGAGAAGATGCCCGAGATAAGTATCTGACGTTTATGCAGTGTATTTTCCATATATGGAGTGGGTTTCACAAGAGATTTCTGTAAAGTTGTCCTGTTGCATATAATGCAAGTAGGTTTCCTTGAAGCAGCACTGTGTAATAGTCTTTGTTAAAACTGAAAGAAATAGCATTACTGAGTGTGGAGAAAAAAGAACACACTAAAATAAGTTGTGTGTGCTCCACTGCGAGTCGCCCTGTTAAGCCTGAAATAACCATTTAAAAGTCAGAGGTCAGACAGAGCGACAGACTTGATGAGAGCTTTTCAGACTGCGTCATACATCTTTACGTTTAATGTCACACAGAGTCAAAAAGAAGATCAGACGCAATGTTTAGGTCTCAAATGTAAAATCAACATTATACTGATGAAGATATGATGACAGTAGAGGAGATTTCATTTATATCCTCAGAAGACACGCCCTGCACCAAGTTTTGACTGAGTTCTCTTATAATAATCTCTGAATTCTTTTAGATTCTGTGTTCTCTTAGAATTCTTTTAGATTCTAAATGAGTTCTCTTAGAATTCTTTTAGATTCTAAATGAGTTCTCTTAGAATTCTTTTAGATTTTAAATGTGTTCTCTTAGAATTCTTTTAGATTCTAAATGAGTTCTCTTAGAATTCTTTTAGATTCTAAATGAGTTCTCTTAGAATTCGCTTAGATTCTAAATGAGTTCTCTTAGAATTCTTTTAGATTCTAAGTGAGTTCTCTTAGAATTCTTTTAGATTCTAAATGAGTTCTCTTAGAATTATTTTAGATTCTAAATGAGTTCTCTTAGAATTCTTTTAGATTCTAAGTGAGTTCTCTTAGAATTCTTTTAGATTCTAAATGAGTTCTCTTAGAATTATTTTAGATTCTAAATGAGTTCTCTTAGAATTATTTTAGATTCTAAGTGAGTTCTCTTAGAATTCTTTTAGATTCTAAATGAGTTCTCTTAGAATTATTTTAGATTCTAAATGAGTTCTCTTAGAATTATTTTAGATTCTAAGTGAGTTCTCTTAGAATTCTTTTAGATTCTAAGTGAGTTCTCTTAGAATTCTTTTAGATTCTAAGTGAGTTCTCTGAGAATTCTTTTTAGATTTTTTCAACACACTCTCAAAAGTCAAATTCATCTGTTTGTTGGGGTCATTACACATTACATTACAAAATGTTCTTCCGCACATTGCGTGCAATTACGTCTCCAAATCCCCAAATCCTACACTGTTGCTTTAAATGCAAATTAAGGCTTTGTTCACAAGACATTTGGTATTGGAATTCAACAAAATAAAATATACTGATACACATAGCTGGTCTTTTGTAGGCGTGTCTTTGGGTAGTTTACCATGCAGGCCATTTCCTGTATTCTGACCAGGAGCACAGGAAAAGCTAAAATGATGGGGACATAGACAGACTGAAGCTGAGGTTTGCTTTGTATTCGTCAGCTTCTTATTCAAATTTTCTGTTCCACCTTAAGGGCGCTGTAGTTACATTAAGGCAACTGCTGCATCATTTAAGGTGGAACGGAAAAGTCAAATAAGAAGCCAAAGTTCAACATCATTCCACAAAAAGTATCCAAATAGAATAACTCAAATCCATGCTTGACAAACATATGTTTTTACAATTTCTCATGACAATAAATCATTTTTCATTTGAGCCTAACGCTGATACACACTCCTCTCGCAGGAACGTTTATAACTATCGAAATGCGAAGTAACTGCAGACAAAACTTTTTTTGTACTCCATGTAGAAACCTTGAATAAAAAATGACTCTTTGAAATTGGTTGAGAAATTTAAAGGTTGTAGTGCTTTTTTTCCAGAAAAACCATAGCTCCCCCGTTTACTTGTATTTGTTTATGGGACAGTCCTGCCTGGATCAGCATGGCAGGCGCATTGATGTATCACAGCAACGGGCCAAAGGAGCCAATGTGGCATCTATGTATATTTGTCTGTGTCGCTGACAACACAAACACATATGAGGCACCATTATAAATCCCATTACTGGAGTTATAAAGTGCTTTAAAATATAATAGCGGCATTAAAATGCTTTATGCTGTTTTGTGTTCAGGAAATGTACTATTCTTCTATGTAAAATTTGTTTGCATTTACAAACTATGATTTTGCTTGAATGCTCCAAATTAACCCACTCATTTTAGGCTCATTAGGAGCGCCCTCTAGCGTTTGACCTACTCAGAAAACAAGACTGTCTCCTCTCTACAAATTCTCTGCTTTCACATGTGGCTGTGTAGAAAACAAGCTAGATTAAGTCACGACGTCGACACCTGCTGGCCGGACTCAGAACTACACTCTCGCGTTTTGTGAGCGATACCATAAAAGAACCACATTTGGTTCCCAAAGGACCGTTGAAAATGCCTTAACGTTATGTGGAGGTTCTTTGAAGTTTGAAAATGTTATTCACACTCACATAGATTAATTCTTAAACTGCAGATTTAAGATTTAAGTAAAAAAGACTGTAACTAAGAACTATACTAAAAATTCAGATGTGAATGCTGAAATGTGGGTGGCGTCAGGGTCATTTTGGAGAAATGAAAGCGAAACCAGGAAGCAGGCAGTGCTGCAGAAAACTGACATCAACAAAATTACAAACTGCAAACCTTTAATCGCCTTTTTCATGGATTAAAGATAAAGACTGTCATCAACGATCAGCAGGCGAGCAGAAAAACAAGCAGGTAAATGTGTTGGTTCTTCAGTTTTTTCTCTTTTGCTCAAGGCTTCGTGAATCTCTCTCAGCGTTATGGCTGCTATAAATGCTAAGAATGCACTACAAACGCAGAACATTTATTTATATTTCAGTAAATTAATATGAAGAACTGAACCATGCTGTAAAATAGTACTACATGTACAAAACTTAAAATAAAAGCACTGCAGTATTGGAGAGAGGGATTTCTGTGACAGCGATGATTTATGAAAAAAATAATGCTAATGTATCTGCTGGTGTCAGTGTTTCTCCTCAGTCAGCCATGGCCTCCTCCAGCACTCTTCTGTCTGAAGAGCAGTTCCAGTGCTCTATCTGTCTGGATGTGTTCACTGACCCAGTCTCCACTCCATGTGGACACAACTTCTGCATGGCTTGTCTCAGCAAGTGCTGGGACAACAGTCAGAACTGCCAGTGTCCGTTCTGTAAGGAGGAATTCTCCAGAAGACCAGAGCTTCGTGTCAATACGTTCATCTCTGGTATGGTTCTTCAGTTCAGCGAGTCACTTCAGGCTAAATCCAGCAGTTGTTCAAAGGAACCTCCCGCCAAGCTTGAATATGTGCCATGTGATGTCTGCACTGATCCCAAAGGGAATGCTGTAAAATCCTGTCTGGACTGTGGAATGTCATTCTGTGATTTGCATCTGGAGCACCATAAAATTGCAGCGAAACTCAAGAAACACAAGTTGATCAATGCTGTGAAGAACCTGGAGGACTATATATGTCAGAAGCATGACAGAGCTGTAGAACTGTACTGTAGAGATGACCAGAAGTGTGTGTGTCTGTTCTGCACTGAGAGTGACCACAAGACTCACAACACTGTTCCCATAGAAGAGGAGAGTGGACAGAGGAAGGTGAGATACTGCTTCAGTTGCCATTATGTCAACATTTATTTTTATTTGAGAGTTACATCTGTATAATATCAGAAATAAAAGCATTTACAGGATAAATTTAAATAATTCAAAACACACTGTGAAATGCAGGTTTTAGCAGGAGTATATCGAAATATATTAATAAAGAAACCTGTAGGTAAAGGACTGATGCTTTTATCAGCTGATTAGTGGAAATGACTCAGTTTGGCTAAAAGTTTTGATGAAAAGCCCTCATTATATCCTTGTTGCATAAGATTTTCTTTTTTCCCTTTAGGCTCAGATGAAGGAAACACAGGCACACATTCAGAAGATGATCCAGGACAGAATGAAGAAGATTGAGGAGATCAAACATGCTGCAGAGCTCAAGAAGGTGAGACTTTGCCAAAGCAACAGAACACATCACATACAATACCAGTCCAAAATTTAGACATACCTGATTAAATGTGCACACAAAAGCTTTTTCAAGGGTTCTTAAGTAAAGACAGCGTTTCTACATAGGACCATGGGCACTCAAAGAACCATCTGCATTCTTTTGTATGGTTCCATATAGGACCTTTTTGAAGAGAGTTGTATATAGCACCAAAAAGGGTTCTGCTATTGTTACGACGTCAAGCTTGTAACAACAGAAGAACTCTTTTTGGTGTCATATAAAACCCTTTTCAAAAATGTTCTATATAGAACCTATACACATTCTCTATCAATCAAAAGAACCATTTCACCAAGCAAAAAAACATTTAATCAGGCAAATGGTTCTTTGAGTGTTCATCATTCTATGCAGAATCATTGTTTTTTCTAAAGAAGAAAAGAAGGGTACTGAATAACTATCATTTTAAAGAGCATATGGTTATGTAATCTTAAAGACATTCTGATTCCATAAATGTATGCTTAAATGATGAAAATTTGAAGAAAAATATAAACTATACGTTGAAGCCCATGCATAAAGGTATGACCAAAACAGAAGTACATTTTACATTTTAAAAAAATAAAAAAATACTGTTGAAAAAGCATGTTTGGAGGCTTCTCATGAAGCCGTGTGGGAGAATGGTAAGGGTGTGGCAGGGTCATCCTACTCACCTAGAGGGAGCAAAGTCACAGATGGCTGTGACATCTCTGGGGACTGGACTTGCAAACTACAGGGCCAGTGCTTCAATGGCTGCAGCACTCAGAAGCCCAAATCTGACATAAATGTATGTGTTATTTCATAGTTTGGGTGTATTTTGTAGGCTGTTATTCTGTGATATGGGAAAGAAAAAGTCATATGGTCTATGTATATCATTTTAATATGTTAGAAAAATGCAGATAAAGAAAAAGCAGACAGCATTCAAGTCTTCACTGCTCTGATTTCGACCATTGAGAGAATCCAAGCTGAGCTACTTGAAATGATGGAGAAGAGGCAGAAAGCAACAGAGATACAGGCTGAAGGGCTCATTAAAGAGCTGGAGAAGGAAATCACTAAGCTAAAGGGGAGAGAGACTGAGCTGGAGCAGCTCTCACACACTGAGGACCATCTCCACCTCTTACAAGTGAGAGTCGCTCTTTTTGTTGAAAAGAAATACAGGACATCACAAGATCAGTCCTCACCATGCTGAAAGATTTCTCTTCTTTCCTCCTGTATGTAGATCTGTCCATCCACCACTTTAGCTACCCTTCCAAACACCAGTAACTGGACTGAAATCAAGATCAACACTGACTGGAGTACAGAGGACCGGAGGAAAGCTCTGTTTCAGCTTCAGCAATTGGTCAGCAAGGAAATAGAGATGTCTGAAATAAGTAGGTATCTAATACCTTAAACTTGCAATGGTGTCATGTTATTAATATATTGTAGGCTGACCAGCCACTTCATTAATACCACCTCCTTGTTTCTACAATTGTCCATTTTATCTGCTCCACTTGCCATATAGAAGCACTTTGTAGTTCTACAATTACAGACTGTAGTCCATCTGTTTCTCTGCATACTGTAGTGTTGGCAGAAGAAGAAACACAGGGGTGGCTAAGCTTTGCAGAAATAATTGCTCTTTATTCACCACACCAGCAGAAAGGCACATACAGATCACTTTAACCCAGGGAAAGGTCACCACTAGCGCTATACTTCAACCCAATGGTGACCCCTCCTCACACACAAAACACACTGACAACCTACATCCCCCAACACAGAACAGGATAAACAACACAGACACACAAGTAAACTAACAAACTACAACATTAACAATAACAACAAGTCCCTCTGTTGGAGGGCGCACACCTTCCATGAGCCTTTGCATGTGACTGTCTGCATAGTCACACCTCCAGAGTCTTTCGGAGGTAGTGTGCACAGTCCCAACAAGCACAAAACCGAGGGGCATCTGCTCTTCAAAGTAGAGCGCCCCAGTCATCCCCCAGGGCCATGCCTCTGCCACCATGGCTCCACAGGCATATGGTATCGCTCCCCACAGCCAAGCACATAGTCATCTCTCTTACAGCACTGACTCGCTAACTGTTCCATTGCTTGCTGTGGTGCTTCCGTGCTGAAGCCTTCAACAGTTTCGCTTGCACTTTTGCCTGCCTCTCTCTTCCATTGTTCCTCACTGCGCTATCCCATTTCTGCCCCCAATGTGACATTGGCTTAGAAGAAGACATGGGAAGCATAGCTCTTCAAATGAATACTCTTTTTTTGGACATAGCAGCATGGGAGACCTGCTGGCTATCCCTCTGTATTTAATAGCGGTGGGTCTCCCCTGCTGCTATGATCAAGAAAAGAGCATCTGATCTACTGATACCAGGTGTACGTTATACATTTTATTAATTCATTTTAATTATTTATGATGTAAGAGTTAATTATGATGCAAGAGTTAAAACTCTTACAATATACTCACCATATGTCTTTTTCCTTAAGTTCCAGATTTGGGCACTCAAAGAGCAGAGATCAAAGAGCTACTTAAAACTCAGCTATTGGAAGGAGACACTTGGTACTTAGTAGACAGTTGTTGGTTCAAACAGTGGAAGAAATATGTAGGCTTTGACCCCTGCGATATGGCCTGCGTGGGAGAGCAGGATCTTTACCCCGGACCAGTGGACAACTCAGGTCTCCTACAAGATACAGATTCACACTCTATCAAGAATTATCTAATTGATGAGCTGGACTATATCCTTCTGCCCACAGAGGGATGGTATAAGTTAATCAGATGGTATGGACTGGCTGAGGGTCAGAAGCCAATTGCTAGAAAAGTGGTTGGGCATGGTATGTTTGTTAAACACTACAGTGTGGAGGTCTACCTCACTGAACTGAAATTATGTGAATGTGGTGATATGGACAATATCATTAATAGGTCTTTCAGCAAAACAGACACAGTATCCTATATTGAAAAGGAAATGCGCAGTCTGTTTAGCATTCCAGATGAGAAGGTGTGCAGGCTGTGGAACAAATACATGAGTAATACATTTGAGCCTTTGAACAAACCTGAAGTCACAATTCAAGATGCTAGATTCTACCAGGGACAGGTTCTGGTTATAGAGCAGAAGAATGAAGATGGAACATGGCCTGGAGTGGTAGGAACAAACATATCTCCTGGAACAAACTTTAAAAATATTCATTTAGCTCAGAAAGGGAAAAGACTACATTTAGTCACCAGAATCCCAGAATGAAAAATCAAATACCTACCCAATAAACGAATATCTGAATAGTCAAATATTCAGGTCCAGCCTTAAAGAATAGCCCTGAGTGAAAGCTTCTGATTGGGGTGTTTTTGTTAATTCTGATAGCTCTTTTACTTCAAATGTGATGGAAATGTAAAATGTGCAATGTAGTACTAATTTGATTCAAAATTTTTATGGATAAATAGTAAAATTAAAAATAAATTTAATCATTTAAATGTTTGGTTTCACTATTTTCAATCATATAAAATTAATTTCATTGACGAATCTTGTCAAAAATTATTCTAATATGATGCTAATATTCTATAGGTGTCAGACAATTTGTAGGAAGCTGTAAAAATGAATGCATGTTTAAAATTGAACGGAGCTGCACTGTAAAAAATGGTTAGTCAGTTCACTGTATTTCAGGGTGAAGATAAAGGTTGACTGATTGATTGATTGATATCAAGTTTATTGATTGTTCTGGCAAACTGCTATGTTTATGTTATCGGTGCAAGCATGACTGAAATGAAGGAAATACAGCAATGACTACTTAGCTCTGGGCTTCATGTGTATGAGAAATGAAAATGAGTAACTATGGTCTCAAGACTGAGACCGGACTCAAGTACTACAACACTAGCTAGAAGCAAAACAAGAAAATATGGGTTAGGCCTATACTAAAGCCCTATAATAAAGAAGCAAAAGAATATTGAGTCTTTAAAGCAATATATCTTATACAAGTAAAACACATAGAACATGTAGTTATGTGAAAGTCTGCGTTCACAAATATTCAAAAGTAAACACACCTAACAGTATTTATTAGGCATTTTTTGTCTTAAATCTCCACATCAGTTTCTGCAGATCACAAGCTGAACCCAATGATTAGAGTCGTTGTGTTTATATACCTGTTCTCTTAGGGTTGTGTAACCAGTTTTATCATGAGCTACAGCCTGAACCCCACCAGGGCTGAAGTAGCCACACTATCATTTCAAAAGTGTAAATCTGTATTCTTTGTTATCTCCAATTTGTTACCTAAAGAGAAAACTTACCTCATTGGATTACCCCCAACTCTTCCCCACCAAACATTATCAGCTCAGGGGAATTTTCACACATTGTTCTTATTGATCTGTTTGAATACACACACACACACACACACACACACAAACACACACACACACACACTAGGGCTGCAACAAACAACTTGATAGTTAAATAATGGATCCATTACTGAAACGAATAATCAATTATTCTGATTCAATTGAATCACTACATTACCAAATAACTTTTATGTAGCTATTAGCTTTTAAATTTAGCTTGAGGTTGTTTCATGCATTTGCTAACTAACAATGAAGACAATAAAGATGAATAACATTCAAGAATTCACTGTTTTAATTAACTTTCCTGCTAATACAAAAGATAAAAAAAACTCCAATATATAAAATTATAACCAACGACGTGAAAAGTAGCAGCAATAAAATAACTTTAATCAAGTAAATAAAAAATCTATCTAAATTTAAATTCAAATCATGTACAGATATAGATTATCAGCATCACTGCTGTACTTTAAATCCACTCCAGCTGTAATATACAAGGGGAAACCACTTTTCTCAGGCTCTGGTTAAAGATGTTCCCCCTGTATTCTCAGTTCTAAAGATTATAAAATATGAATACAAGTTACTGTAAAGACAGTCACATTAGTACCATAACAGTAAGACTTCAGTCTCAAAGACTACAGGGAAACCAACTTCCTAGGTGCACTGAGATACGTAGTCTAACAATAATAACACAGACTAATTACTGTGCTGTGTAACTTAATGCAGTTTATTTATTTCAGAAACAAATGTTTCAAATCTATTTAGAGAACTTAGCGAGACTGATGAGGATATGGGACATAAATACACCTTAAAATCACTTAAGTCTGAACAACAAAATATGTCTGCATGTACGGTAATTAAATCAGAAAAGGCGCAATAAATCTAACTTCTGTTACTCGGAGTAGTTGAAAACGGAGCCAAAAATAGCATTAGCCCACGTAGTGTTTGAGCATTAAAACATCTGCTAACAACACATTTTATACTTTAAAACGTGTTTAACTACAAGTCATTTTACAAACAACGTGATAATTCGCTTACCGAGAGGAACAGGACGAAATAACGGTACAAAAACAAACGAATTAAGCCTATCTAAGCCCCGCAGAGGAGCGTCGACTGAAGACGTCATGATTTCGACATGCGCAATGAGGGGGGAACAGGGGGAACTGAATTTACCGTAACACCGGCGGCCTCGACGTTAAGACGACGATGCAGTGTTTGAAAGTGTAAACGTTATCATCTGAAAAGTGAACAGAGTCGCTGTGAATAATAGTTACTTGCTTCTCTGTTCCAAACTCCATTAACGATTCCAGACAGCACGCATTTCGAAACAGAAAATGTTACAGCTCGGTTCACAACATGGAGCAGGACAGAATTTAACATTAACATTAGCTAACTAGATCGCTAGCACAACTATCGCCGCGTCCCAAACCACACACTTCTGTACTTCACATACTACACTAATGAGTGCACTTCTAACTGTATATGCGCTATTTTTACACACTATTTAGTGTGCTAGTATGCGATTTGGGACGGTGCGTATCTTACCGAGGTGAATCTTCATCCAGTGATCCCGACCAGTTTCCTCTTACGATGCTCCAGCATGGAGGATGTGCTCCCATATCAGCTAAGGTCGGCTTTACAAACAGCACAACTGACAACCTTTTTGCTGAGTTCAGCTCCCACACTTTTGAGGATTTTGTTCTTGAAACTGACATCGCGCTGTTGTTAAATCTCCAGTAAGCGGTAATGTCAAAACGTTAGTGAACGCGAGAAAGACGCGTAATGACGCCATCAGCTAATGGACTACTAAATTAGTTGCCAGCTAATTTGGTCATCGATTTTAGTCGACTAAGTCGAATAATCGTTGCACCCCTAACGCACACACACACTGCCTTCAGTCAGTGTATTCAACATGGATGGGGAGACAATAGATCATGCCGTGGAAAAAAGCATATTATGCTGTGTTCACATGCTTGCAAAAAAAAACCGTGACCAACGGCGGCATGAAGCCATTGCAAAAGTTGCAATGGTGACAGGGTTACTGGCAAAAATGGATGATTATCAAAGGAGAGCTTTAGCAGCATCAATTGTTTATTTAAGGTGGAAAAAAGCAGGAGGATACCTGTACTGTGGCGACGCCTCACGTCTTTTTGAGTTCAGAAACCTCCGCTTTCCCTGAACTGCATGAAGCGCTGATCAGCACGAACAGGCAGAGTAAAGCTGAGCAGCAGAGTCAAACAAAATCTCCATTTCGGCTGGGAGACACTTTTAGACCTGCTGTGTCAAAACCTGTGAAAGTTTTTCTTTAGTTTGGTTCTGACACGCGACTCCACCTGAATTCAGGCAGCGCCGAACAACTAAACCGCGCTAATTCAAGAGAGAATTAAACTCAAGGGCACGATTTTCCAGTGCTGTACTGTCTGCACAAGCTGCTGCTTTAACATTTCACTCTTTACAGATGCTCATATCGTTCCTGTCCCGCGAGCAGTACAAATATTGCCACCATCAAAACATTCTAAAATTAAACACTAAGAAGGAATTAGTATCTAAATATGAATGGCTAAAATGTAACAGAGTAAAAAGATTCCTTTACTCACTGATATACTGTGGTAGAAGTAAAAATATCATGATTTGAAAATACTCAGGAGAGTAATAATCCATCAATGTTTTACTTAGGTATATGTTCTAGAGCAAATGTAACTAGTTACGACCCACCTCTGAATAGGTTTATAAAGATGTCATTAGCATGACATGAAAGGCAATCTCCTGTGGTATGTATTTACAGTGACTCGTTGTAGTCTTAACCGTATGGGTCTTTACAGGCCCAAGACGCAGTGAGCAGTGTCATGTTTACAGTGTTTAATTTCAGTAATAAGCTCTTGTGCTTAATTAATGAAATTTATTGCGCTACATAATTGGACCAGAGCCGCTAATGCCCCCTCATGAACTATCCACCGACTACAGCCACATGTGCAATTTAGTATTTTTCTGCTCTTAAACATCATTTCAAAAGATAAATATAATAAAAGACTTACTACTTGAATTCCAAGTTCCAAGACCAGGAAAATCTCTGTACATTGACAGACTTTTTATTGTCATGCGCAAAAGTGCAGTGAAATTTTATTTGCATGTCATTTTCTGCAGACTTTAATAATTACGATGACGTCGCATTACAATAGTAGCATGTAATCGTAATGATCACCGTGAGCATTACATACGGTTAGTACACAGCATACAAAGTAGGCATATTTAACATGCTGAATGAGGACTTTGCCTGAAAGTCAAACAGGAAGTGTTTGTTTGTTTCTTTTCCTTTTCAACATGCAGTAGTTGAGGTAATATGCACAGAAGGGACTCTTAACCTAGATCAACACTCCTGTGCTGGGATTATTATAAAACCAAGCCCTAAAGTCAGTAATGAGCACGGTTGACCACTAGGTGGAACACTAACACTGAGTAAACACATCCATCCCAACTGCCTTCACACACCATCTCTGAAGCTGCAGTCAGTTTCTTTGTTAAACACTGATACACAAAACGGTCATTTGAGAAAAACTAATGATTAAAAAGATTCACTTTACAATGACTGTGGATAAAACATAAATACAAACCAAACTGTCCCCACACACTGATTTCTTTTTGCTTTATTGCTACTTTATTTAATGAGCAAGTGATTGAATGAGGCGCTGAGTCAGATTATAGCCCAAGTGAAAAACGCTAAGCTAAACCAAATCTTACTGCAGATGCAGTGTAAATCTGGCCCACAATAATATATAAAAAGTGAAGTAAAGTGACCTGATTATTATTCTTCAGCTTTTCAGACTGAACAGTTAAAGGGCCCATTTCCTATAATTCATCCCTTGAGGTCACACTTACAACATCTGTGTAGTTTTGTGTACCAAAATTGGCCACAATTCATTTTTACATAACTGTTTTCCAAGCTGACTGGCGACCTGTCCAGGGTGTATCCTGCCTTCCGCCCAATGACAGCTGGGATAGGCTCCAGCACCCCACTGCGACCCAGAAGGATAAGCAGTTTGGATGATGTGTGTGTGTGTGTATTTTCCAACCTCTCTTTAAACAGGCAGGTTTTGTTATTGTGCCTTTAAGACTGATATAAGATGAAAGAAAGCTCTGTTTTGATTGGCTGTCGTGTGTCTCATTCAAAAAGTACTCTGAAACACTGCTTAGAGCTTCAGTATCAGTGGGCAGTGCTAAACTGCTGTGGGCTGAATAGGCAAAAATAGGTAAATGAGTTGGTTCTCCTGACATCAGAATCTGCTGATAATCTGCCTGTACGGGCAAATAATTGCTGAAAATTTGTTATTATTTGAACAATATTTCAAACTGATAATTGATGACGTGTTTATTTTACTCTGGAAGAATGTTTAAGCAATGCTGCGCTACTTTGAGCTTCAAAACTATCTGTATTTTATTCATACCATAATCATATATCATTTTCATATCCATAATGCTAATTCAGGTAGATCTAGTCCCAAATTCTACATTTTATAAATGTTTATCTGTCGGCATCATGATCAGTATCAGCAGACATATATTAAATATTAGATATACATTTAAAAAAGCATATATCGGTGAATTCCTTGTTACATTCCTCCGTAATGCTAATCCAGGTGGATGTAATCCCAATTTCTACATTTTGTAAATGTGTATCTATCAGCAGATATGTACATTAAAATTATTGTTATTGGCCCCAGAACTGCCACATTGAATCACTTCTGATTTTTACATGAGCATGTTTTGTTAAATTCAACCACATCAGCCATTTAATCACTTTTCATCATTACCATACTATTAACTCTAATCAGCCAATCACAACACAGAGTGGTGCAGAGAAATTGTACCTCGGACCTTCATCTCACGCTGCAATAAAAAGTCTTACACATTGGACGCATTTTGTTTACTCGCTCTGAAAGCCTTCCCTCACCTCGATTCCTCTGAGCACATCTAAAGAACTGATACGTCCTTAAAGATAGTGGACTTTGATTGATTTCCTAGTGACAGCCTGGAGGAGATAGCACAGCAGAACTGAGTAGGCATCAAAATTGTGAATACAAGTGGTAAACTGTACAGCAGCTCAATATAGATTACAGGCATAAAGCAGCTTCATG